GGGGGGGCAACCGCAGACAACATCTCATGTAATAAGAAATGAGCAGAGCAGCAGAGCGATTAGATTCGGACAGCGCGGCCAGCCAAAGGCGCGGATGAGATATAAATCAAAAGAACACCTTCTCCTTTTGCTCGCTCCGCTTGCTCGCTCGCTCGCTCGCTCGGTCCCGCGGGCGCGCGCCCTAGAGCGCCGGGCCGGCCGCGCCGCCGCGGTGGATAGCAGCAGCAGCAGCCGCCCCAAGGCCGTCACATCACGCGGCGCGCCACGCCCACGACAAGAGGCCGGAATAGGCTCAGCTGAACACACGCGCGCGCGCGCGCCGACACGGGAGTGAAGTCAAACAAACGGGCGGCCACCGCCCTCCACCCGGGCTGCTGCCGCTGCTCGTCGCTTCAGGCAGAATCAATTACATATCACACACTACAACAGCAGAGGGGGGGTCAGTTCAGTTGGGCATTTGTTATTGTTTCGCCGTCACGCAGCCCAGTCCGAGCCGCGGACCTCTCCTGACGCGGGCAAACCGTGTGCTGTTTGGGCTCACATATTTGATACCCGCGTTGAAGTCTCCGCGGGGGCGTCGGAGCGCGCGTCGGAGCGAGGAGTCTTTCCTCGCGCTCGCGGGCGTTGGGCGTTGTAGGCGAGGAAGAACGAGAGGTCGTCGGCCCCGCCCTCGCGAGCCCTTCCTGATGCTAGAGCGTCTCGGTAAACAACACTCGTCCAAGAGTGACACCACATCTAAGATCGGGGAACTATGGTGCCTAAATCCAAAACAACGATCGAGGAACTGACAAGAAATTTGACAGAGTGCGACCGCACCGCAAGCTTTCCCTATTTGCTTTTCGAACAGTGTCAGACCGCGGGGCAAGTGCGCAGTGCGCCCGACCCGACGCCCCGCCCGCGCCTGCACGCCACACTTCGCTTTCTAAACACTTCTCTTGCGGCGAAAATGAAAAGAGCGCAAGCGCCCTGCAGCCATTCAGCGAGAGAAAGGGACAAAAGGGGAGGAGGAAGGGCATCACAGAGACAGGAGGAGAGCAGAGCAAAATAACGCCAGAGTCAATCAAGCTCCATTTTCCTATCGCGCGCGCCTCGGCCGCCGCGAGTCGGACGCGCGCGAAAGCAGAGCCATCGACAAAAGACCTCATAACCACGCATGCTGACGGCCGTCTGCGCGGCCAACGCCACCATCTCCACCATCATCATCATCGCGTCGTGAGCACCGCCGCAGTGCGTGTCCAAGGCCCCCCTACAGAGCCGATTACCGATAGCCGCCCAGCAGCAGCACCTTCACCATCATCGCCCAGCCCTCTCCTCTCCCCCACACTTACGCACGCATATCGCTTTTCGTGTTGCAGACGGCCTGGAGGAGGGCGCCAGCGTCAAGAAGGCGCGCGCCTCGGTGCAGGACGACGTGCACCAGGAGCCGGACCAGAGCCTCGACGAGCGGGGCGACCAGCGCGGCCGCGTGCCGCCGGGCTTCCTCAGCCCCTCCGTGCAGGAGTACCTCGAGCTGGGCAAGTCCATCCCCGGTGAGTATCCAGCACCTCCTCCTCCATGCGGGCCAGGTGGCGCGGCCGCCGGCCCCAGGGTCGCAGAGCGTCTGCTCGTCGCGTCGGGGACCCGCCCCAGTCCAAGGGCGGCGCGGGCCGGGGGCGTACGCCCGCCCCGCCCCGTTGCGGCATTGTTAATAAAAATCGATCCGCCAGACAAAAGGACACCGCGCGTCTCATGCGGCGCGGACATACCCAACAAAAACAAGTATTTACCCAAGAGAAATAATTAACATGAGATATTTGTCGCGTTTTCGCAAGTGCTTGTACGATAAGAGTAGTGTCCTTTCGCTAACGAGCTCGCCACAGATGCGGGGGAGCGCGGTTGCGTGCGGTCCAGCCTGATCGTCGTACGCGTTCGACTCGTCGGCCGAGACGGTTTCGACCCGAGTCGCCCCGTGCGTCCCGCCCCGTCGGAGCGTGCGGACAAGTCAGCAATTAGAATACAACGCAAGTGATGTGTCACTGCAGGCCTTGGCGCCTCTGCCCACTCACGTGCGAGAGCGCGCGCGCGCAACGCTTTTCGTAAGTCCGCGAGGCAGAGAGTAGAATCCCAATGGCCCTCCGCGACACACACCTGTGCGGAGGCGTTGTCCGAACAAAGGGAGAGGGGGTCGGGGAAGGGGTCAGTTCGCCCTAGTTCAAAAAGTAGACCCACCGCGTCGCTGCATGTCCTGACCACCTCGGTATTTGCAGTTCCCACTGTCTAAAACGACCTGTCTCTCCTGTCCCACGCAGGCCGGCCCGGCACGGACTACCCGGTGCTGGGCGTCGTGCCCTACACCAACTTCTACTGCGACGACCAGCCGTACCCGGGCTTCTTCGCCGACATGGACACGCGCTGCCAGGCGTGGCACTACTGCGACATCGACGGGCGGCAGGCCACCTTCCTCTGCCCCAACGGCACCCAGTTCTCCCAGGCCGTGTTCGTCTGCGACTGGTGGTTCAACGTGCGCTGCGACCTGTCGCCGCAGCTGTACGCCATCAACGCGCGCCTGTACGGCACGCCCAAGCTGTCGCCCACGCGGCCGCACCGCGTCATCAACAAGCAGCTCGTCGACGACATCTTCGCGTCCTGAGCGGGGTCCCCGTCAAGGACACCGAGGCCGTTTCTATCCTTTGCATTGATTCAAAGACAGTAACTTATTTTTTTTCGTCCCACCGTCGCGTGGCCCTCGCTGGCCGGTCCCCTCAACTCCTCCTTCCTCTTTAAATCTCCCGCCACCCAACGGCGCGGTTTCCTGATTTCGATTCGCGTTCTCGTCGCGTCCTCCTCTCGGTGCGGTCGGCCGGGCGGGCGCGCGCGCGCGCGGCGACCGAACCAACGTGTTCCTCATTTCTTCACAGTCCGCGCGGGCCGCGGCCGGGACGGGCGGCCATAGACCCACCGTTCACTTCCTGATGGAGCCCCGGGCAGCTCGTCCCGAGGACCCCTAGCCCCAGTCCGGCACGGGGGCGCGGACCCTCACGTGACTGAGGAGGTGCAAGGACCAAGAGAAAGGGTCATACCCCCCCCCCCCCCCGCTCGATTCGTGTCGGGATCTTGAATAGTGTCAGCGTGTGCGTGGCGTGTCAGTGTGTCTGAATGTGAGTGTGTGTTTCGGTGTAAGTTGTAGCGTGTCCGCGCGTTTGTGTGAAAGTACAGTTGCGTGCGTGTGTGTGTGTGCGTGCATGTGTGTGTTAGTGAGTGAGAGTCAGTGTGTCAGTGTGAAAATGTCAAATGAGATGGGGCGCAGTGACCCTCTGCAGGGCACCACCTCCGCAGGAACAAAACATGTCAAGTACATCGTAGTAAGCCTTACAGGAGTGCCTATCCCCTCCACATTCTTATTCTGATGGTGGTAAACAATTTCATTTGCTATTTTCTTTTGTCGTTTTCGCCCTTGATAGAATATAACAAAGGGTCAAAGCGACGAGAGGAAAAAAAATAATAGCTGAACCTGACACGTTTTGTCGTTCTGCGAGGGCGCGGCCCGGCAGACAATGGGCCATCCTGGGCACCTGCCAATCCCTGCGCCGCCCAAGCAAGCCGAGCCGCGCGCACAGAGCCGCGGCATAACCAAATGATAATTACAATAAAACAAGTAAACAACCTCAAACGTCATTATTCCTCACCTCCCAGCTGACCTCATACACAATCAGTCCTTGATGACGCGAGCAAATTGCCTCTCCCGGGAGGCCGCTAATTGCAACCAGGGCGGGGCGGGAGGAGGGGGAGGTCAACAAATCCCCGCCGCCGCTACTCACACAATGAACAAGGAGGGGGCGGGAGGGAGGTCACGCCATGAGGACGTCCGTCCGACTGCCGTCATCGCCTCCTTTCTCCGCGAAGGGCACCTCCTCCCTCGTCCTGGCGGGACCCCGGCGGGACCCTGGCGGGCCGCGGGGTGGCCCCATCACAGGACGACTCCATTCCGCGACTCCCGATTTGGCGCGCATCGCTGCGTCTGGCCGTCCATCTATCTATCCACCCATCTATCCATCCAGCCCGACTGCCAGGCAGCGGCGGCGCGCCGCTCCGTGTCCCATGGGGAATGCCACCCGAGGGGGGAGGGGAGGGGGGGGGCACGAGACAAGACAAGCCGATAGTAAATCCACACGGGCAGGCATTCGCCATAATCCGCCACGGCTCTGCAGCAGCACCGTGCAGCAACTGCAGCCGCACATATGGCCAGCGCCGCTGCTTAACGTTCTTGTCGCCAGCGAGAATAAAAGAAAAGAAATTCGCTGTCGAATATTTTTGGGGGGTCCGTTGTGGGTGGCTCTGCTTCTAGTCCGCCGCGCGCACACCAGTCTCGACTCCCTCAACACCTCGGCTCATACCCCTTGCACAGACACGCCACTGGCCGCGCCCAATTCTACAAGTGGCCTGCGCTGCACTCGCGCACTGCACCGCTTATGAAACAGTCGTTCCGCCCCGGGCTGTGGTCGGGAGTGGCGGGGCGTGGCGGGGCGTGGCGGGCGTGTGCAGGGGCCAGCCTGCACTGCACCAGTGCACACGAAGTGCACACCTCGGCCGTTGCATTTCTCACCCTACTTCTCGCACATATGACTAACAATTAGGGGTCACGCCCGGGGGGCGGGGCGCGCAAACAAGGAGAGAAAGGGACAAAGACAAAGCAGTGTGGGGACAGCGAGGGGCACTTAAAAAACGATGGTCGCGTTTGATACCCAAAAGTCGAACTTCAAACTCGATCTGCTTGGCTAAAGCCAACCCGCTGTCCCATACGCTGTTAGTGTGATATACTCGACTGGAAGTGACCCGTACATCTGATGTCCTCCCTCGGCATCCAATGCCGTTGCCTCCAACGACCAAACCTCGCGGGCGCTCAACCGGGCTTCACCACTAACTCAACGACCCCACTTGGCGCCAGACCCGAAGCCGAAGACGGCGGTGGAAGTGGAAGTCCCTCGCCTCGTCAAATGGGCTGCCTACCCCTTCGGAGTCGGCCCGCTCCGCCTGCACGGACCTCAGCGCCGCGGCACCGCCACGCAGGATGGGTGGCCTAGCCAAGCGACGACAGGGGCAGCGCCGCCAGCCCGCAGCGCCCGGTCTTAGTGCCTGTCTACTTCTCCACTTCACTGTCTATAGGAATAGAGCGACAAGGACGAGTTCACTACTCCGCCGATTCAGGAAGAACCACATCCAGCATTACAATAACATGCAGTTAAATAACTACACTTATGAAAAGGTCAAATATCATGGGTACAGGCACGATACGCCCACCAAGCGCATGGTTGTACCAACTGAGCCACAATGCAAAGAGAAGGTTGGGATAGAGTAATAGTGAAATGAGAGACGGCAGTGGCCGGCGCAAAAGCCTCCATTTGCCCTCGACTCGAATCAAGTCAACGAGTAAAATGAGCCATTTATACACCAGACATCACTTCCCTGTCAGGTGCAGTAGCAGCCAGTCGGCCTTGCGGAGGGGGCGCAGCGCGTGCCTTCCTGGCCGAGGGGCCCGAGGTTAGCAAACGGTCGGGGAGTTCTCAAAGAGCTAAGGGTTGGGTGCACCCGCACTAGGTATGGGCAAGCCTTGGCCAGCCTCGCACAAAACACCTGCAGGCAGACCCTGGGGTAGGCCAGCCCGCCACGCACCAAACGCCTGCAGACCCTACGGTAGGCCAGCCCACCACGCACCAAACGCCTGCA